CTCGTATCACAGCGGTGCCTGGATGGTGTGACGTGTGTGGTTGTGCTGCTGCCGTGGTCCTGCCAGATGCCTCCTGCTGCTGTTATTATTAGTCATACTTCTACTGTTATTATACACATATGATTATTGTCACATATGTATACTATCAGATATTAATATATACTTTCAACAAATTGTACCACAACAGCCAGAATTATAATTCTAATATTATTACTTTCATTAATGTTGTTGTAAGCCACTGTCATTACCATCTGTCTCTGTCTCTGTCTCTGTCTCTGTCTCTCTCTCTCTCTCTCTCTGTCTCTCTTTCTGTCTCATTGTGTCATACGGATTACTGTTAATTTATTACGCTGATCTGTTCTGTACGACATCTATTGCATGTCTGTCCGTCCTGGAAGAGGGATCCCTCCTCAGTTGCTCTTCCTGAGGTTTCTACCGTTTTTTTCCCCCGTTAAAGGGTTTTTTTGGGGGGAGTTTTTCCCTTATCCGCTGCGAGGGTCCTGAGGACAGAGGGATGTTGTATGCTGTAAAGCCCTGTGAGGCAATTTGTGATATTGGGCTTTATAAATAAAATTGATTGATTGATTGATTGATTGATGGGCTTATTTCATTTCATATCATTATTTTTTCATCACACTTTTGCCACATAAACAACTGAAACGCAGAGCACCTGTTCAAACCACTGGTTTATTTGGATTTACATTCAACAAGGCATACAGTCATGCTAATAAATGATTTTTTTTCTTTTTTGGCATGCTTGAGAGTTATACACTTTAAGCTATACCATGGTCACACAATTACAATCACAACATCCTTGTATAGATTGGAAGGAAAACACAAGGGCTCTTCAACTCCAGCAGTGTCCAGCCACAAACCAGAAGTAGCTGCCACTGAAGAACTCTTGGGAGAGCAGAACCTGGGAATACAATCCAATTACAGAGCTCTGAGATGCATGTTGCTCAACCCCCTCCTCTTAACTCTGCAGGAAATGAGGGTGAAAAAAAAACCACAGGCGGCAATGTGGTTCTCTCAACAGACGTCTGATTGTTCAGAAAGGTTGATTATGGAATGTAAATTTCGCTAACTCTGAAAAAATGAGTTTAAACAGCCATGCATAATCGCGTATGCCCATATTCAGTATGCATACAAATGCACAGGCGTATGTATACACCCACATATAGCTTACTTTTTATATTAAGTTAGTATTAGTCTTTCCTCTGTTGTATGCAGTGAGAGCACAGTCCCCTGTCTGTGTCGCTCTATGCCTCCTAAAGCACAGTTTCACCTCCTCCTGGACTCCGTTACTGACCAGCACATAGAGCACAGGGTCCACCACGCAGTTCAGACTGGACAGTGCCAGCGTACATGAGAAAAAAAAGTGCATTTTTTGTTCAAACTGGCAGTAACTTCCTTGTTGGTGCACGTTATCACTGTTGTAGAAGACAAGTGAGCGTATGAGCAGGAGAATGTGATATGGAGCAAAGCAAATTGAGAAGATCCCAATCACCCCAAAGGACAGCAGGCGGACCTTCCTCTTAGCCTGGGTGCTCAGGCCAGGACTCTGTCCCACTGTGGCCAGCACCTTCCAATAGCATACCGCCAATACCAGCAGGGGGAACAGGAAGCCAATGCCCACTCTGAGCAGGTTGAACAGGGCGACAGGTTTCGGCATGGGGTACGTCTCATAACAGCGGTCATTGTTGTTCACCTCATCGTGAGCATCAGTGAGATTGTCATTGACCAGTACCATGATGTGCAGCGCCATCACGACAACATAAACAGTGGCACACTGTGCCCAGGCGTAGCAGGATGTACGGTGGGTCTTGGAGCGAAGCGGGTAGGTGACCACCAGGCAGCGGTCCACTGAGATACAGCAGAGCAGGTAGATGCTGTTGTACATGTTGGAGTAGTAGAAGAAGCCGGCTACATTGCAGGACATAACGCCAAGCTTCCAGTGGTGGTCCTGCCGGTAATAGTTGATCCAAAGGGGCATAGTGAAGATGAAAAGCATGTCAGAGAGGGACAGGTTGAGCAGGAAGATGCCCAGAACATTTTGCCGCCGCACTTGTTGTAAAATGGGGCACAGGGTTAGCACGTTGAAGATCAAACCAAAGATAAAAGCCAGGATGTACACAGACATCAGGAAGTCGCTGATGGCGCTGTCACCAATTTTAACACACACTGGAGTTACGTTTGTGGTTGGTGGTGTGACTGTGACGTTCATTCTCACTTAAGTTTTCTTTCACTTTCCTGGTTAGAAATTCACCTGTAAAAAAAAAAAACAGAAGTTACGCAGGAAGAATGAGCTTACTCCATACGATAAAATACATGGTTCAGTTTGGACATTTTGTTTGCTGCATTCTATTTCATGCTTCAAGGGACTCAAGAGATAAAATGATTCAGTTCTCCCCTGGTGTTTCTCAAAGTGAGGTAGTTTGGCTCTGCAGCATACTGTGCTTGGGCAAAGTCGAAGTTACTCCCTGACGATAACAGTTTCCCCCCCTTGGTACAAACAGCCAAAATTCCCTCCTCATTGCTTTAACTGCTCCGTGTGGAGAGAACATGTCACGCAGTTTTTCATAAATGGTTTTACAGAAACAGAGAGCATTTAAGGAGCTAATGCCTCATGTTAAACTGTCTATATGTCGTTGCACTTATTGTCCTGCATGGTCTGAATCTTAGTGGTAGACAGGGACAGCACAGACTGTACTCGCAAACTGAGTGTTCGTGCTTAATACAGCTTTAATCTTTGTGTTTCTGCAGGGACACAATGAACTGCAGTCAGACTCAACCAGTTATTGCTAATTTAAATGCATCCTTACAGACGGTCCAGTTTAATGTCCGATGTAACAGCCATTAGCAGAACTAGGGTGGTCTAAACATCTCCCCTAGACAATAGGCATTTAAATGTTTACTGTGGCCTGAATAAGTAATGTGAACTTCATGCCCTGTATGAATTAATTAATTCATTCCTTCCTTGATTTACACTGTGGACGCACGGTCAGTTCCAGTTCATCACAGAGCTGTGGGTGTGACTCCCGTCTATTAGGCAGACACATCCTAGATATTAGTCTCTGTTGCTTCCTGATGAAAATGGCACAGAAAGGGCAAAAAGGTCTGACCACACAGCTAAATGTCATCAGAAGATGGCTAATAATGAAGCCACAATGTAGATCATTTGAATCATTTCCTACAAAGACAACACATGGTTGCTTTTTTATGTAAAAGAGCCCTCAGCAGCTTTTCTTTGTTTTTTTTTTTTGAAGCTTTTAAATGTAGATTTTATTCTCTCAATTTCCCGTCTCTCTGAGATTTCAGCATTAGGAAATGAAATCTTTGTTCTGCATCTTTGTGTCTGGGTTTTTTTCCTGTTGCACGGTGGCATTCTTTGATATTTGTTTCCTCTCTACCTTGTGTTCTATCACTTAGGCTCGGCCCTGCTGTGTTTATAGGCTCAGGAAGCATCTAATGCCATTAACGTCTGGGCAGAGATAGGCTGTCCCATCCAAACTCAATAATGGAGAAACCATTTAGAGCCAGACCATCTTTAGAGAACAATAATGTGGTCCTGTGCATGTGTGTGCGTGTGTGCGTGTGCGTGCCTGTGCATGTACAAATGGGTTTGATTTAATGGATTATTCATAAAATTTCTGAATAATGTGGGTTGGGAAGTGGCTCTGTCTGTAGTATCGGAAAGTTTTGCTCATAAATTTCATACCTTTTCTAAAAAATTTTCGTAGGCTGCTGTTTAGTCATCAGTCTGGCAGTTATGACTAACCACTGATCTTCCCCTTATTAAAAAAGGCCTAAAACTGACAAGTGTGTTTTATTTACATTTGATCTCTGATTTTTTCCAGTCAGTATGGGTTCATTTCTTTTTCCTGTAACCTACATCTTTTGGTGAAGCATTGTTTCTTTTATTCTGTCACATAATCCTAATACATGCCTACTTTTCGCAGCTGGTCTGAGCTCTAGTCCACCCTTTCGTCTGGAGCCAACTATGTGTTTGTTAAAATTATAAACTGAACAAAGCCTGGTTGTTATTACACAGCCTTGTCACCAGTGTAGCTTTTAAAGAGCAAAACTTCAGCCCCTTCCCTTGAGAGGAATGCTGTTTGCTCTCCAAGCAAAATGGAAAAATATGATTGATTTTATGTTTTATAGTTTGCCTCCCTAATACCAAAGCTGTTTTTTAAATGTATCACAGGCCACCTGTGCAGCATATTCCTGTGATTTTTCTTGCTGTCAAGCAGTTCTCTATTGCAATCTCCAGCCTAGTGAGGTGACCACCGCTGGGAGAGCCGCAGAAAATATTCAGTCCTGCAGAGAATCGACATTTCTAGCCTAATTATTTTTGCCACGCTGCCTCAAGCATGCTGTCTTTCCCCTGACAACAGTCCACTGGGGACGAAAAGAAATCTAGCAAAGAAAGTAAGGTTTTAGACTAAATGAATAGCTTAAACACCCTGCTCACAAAACATTAAAAATATCTCAAATTATTAAACTTTTTGAAGGTGTTTTTTTTTTAAGTCCAGTATAATTTCTAGATATCTTATATTCAGAACTGTAATCAGTGATGAACTCACCTGCTGTTTTTTGGAAGAGGTGTGTCTTGACTGTAAAACAAAGCTGTCCAGTTTGTGAAGAGTTTCAGACATATTCCAGAGCTGCTTCAACTTCAGTCAGTCCAGGAGGGTCAGAGGACGAGCTTCAGAGAAGAGACTCTTCAAAGCTGCTGACATGCAGCCAGGCCACTGCACTCCCACATGATACTCTCAAATGATTTCTACACTATACAGTAACTACAAACTCATTTTCCTGCCTGTTTACTGTCAGATTTGTTGTTGTTGTTGTTGTTCTAGTAGAGGTAACTTACTGTTGACAGCCACAGTTGAAATGTCAGCAAGGAGTGTAGGGAAGGGAAGAGACGAAGTACAAAAAGGGGAAGACACATGTAGGAGGAGGGAGGTTTGGTTTTGCACATGTGCATGAAGGCTTCAGGGGGGGGGGGGGGGGACACCAGACTGTGATGGACCAGATATGATGCAGACGTTAATACTCTCACAAGACAGAAAAAGAAGTCTATTACTGTTTATTATGGAAATCGAAACTCTGCGGGCAGACAGCCAAATGTCGCAAAACCAAACCTCCATTTCCCCATTTTACTTTCACAGTGATGTTAGTCTTTTTGCATTGTAACCAGTGTAACTATAAATCATAATGGGGATATTTTCACTTCTTTTCAACAGCTTTCTCCTCGCCGTAAATTTCCTGTGACGCAGTGTTCGGTTGATCACCTTCATTATGACTCATTGCAGGAAAACTGAAGTACTGCAACCGTTTCACTGCTAAACATGAAAAAAAGCTTGAAGTTAAGAAGTGAGCTGAGTCAGATTTGCACGTTGCGAGCTCTGTACCAGGCGGTGGTATGAACACTGCCCCTGTCTCAGGGCAACATACGAGGCTCTTTTCATGTTTATAAAAAGAAAAAAAAGTATCTGTGACGGAAGCCTGCAGCTGCTCTGTTAATGTGTAGAGTAAACATTTACACCAGCTGTGAATGTAGTGCATTTTTCTAATAGCTGGAATGCATACCTAAGGTCTGCTACAGTTATAGCTGAGGGAGGGAAAGAGGAAGGTTAGAAAGGGGAAATGCTTTGTAATAATATTTCCAGATGACTCTTGCAGTGAAGTATTCAAAAAGGGGCTTTCTTACCTCAACTCCCCTCATCCATCATCTGTTTTGGCATCCATACAGGATAAGTGAGTGTTTCAGATTCAGGCTCTGTAATGAAAATGAAAAAGCAGGAGGTGAGTAAATGTGTTTATGGGTGTGTGTGTGTGTGTGTGTGTGTGTTAGTTCAGCTGACAGTTCAGTTTAGCTAATGTTAATTCATCAAGAGAAACTCACTCTGAGAGAAAGTAAGAGAGATGTGAATAGTTTTTGACAATTGGACCCCATCGTGATGTCATATATTAAAAGGGAAGTGGTGAAGCTATAATAGTTTAGGGAATACCCCCGTTGAGTATTTACGTTGGTGGAGGTGGTGATGGTGAGATTTAGCGGAAGGGTGCTGTAGATCTGAATGTGATGAGGAGTGGACTTTTGATGACCTCTGCACCGGATATGATGACCGGAGGTGAGTGGGCTGGGAGAAGGCACCACGATTTCGCCTAAAATGACAGCTGGAAGCATCATAGGAGAGAACACATTAGAAGTCTGAACACAACAACATGAGACAATTTGATGGACTGATGGCAATTTGATAAATTTAACTGAAAGAGGAAACACCCATTATCAGCTGACTGGAAGTGGTACGGGGGAAGTGAGGTAGATCAAGAGATTTGTGAATGAGCGTAACATAAACATAGTCTTCCTCATTAAACTTGTGCTGAGCTTCATAAGGTGAAAAATGAGCTTCAGTTACAACATATTTACTAACAGGTGTGTACGCAAATCTGGAGCAAACTGTGCAAACTTGAGCATCTCTGTTTTAATTAAACAAAATCTAACGTTCACTTTCAGAGTTAATAACATCATCTTTGAAGGATGTGGCTACATTATTTGGTCTGTGACAAAACATCACTCACAGGTCATGTACTGTATCTGTTCAGCTGAAGTTAGCGTGAGGCTTAAAGGAGCACTTCGCCCACAAAATGAGCATTTGTAAATCAGTTGGTCATGTCATGTTAACTTGTGTGATGGCCTCGGCCATGTTGTGTTTTGCTGGCCTCTCTGTGCTCCTCCCTTCCCAGGTTCTCCCTGCCTGTCTCCCTCCCATCTCGTCAGGGGATTCACCTCACCTGTGGCCATGTCTATAAAGGCATGGCCATTCCAAGATGGCTCTCTCTCCTTCCTGGATGGCTGGGGCCTCCAGGCAACCCCAGCTTTGTTTGGTTTGGTTTGGGTTGTGTTACGTTGGCTCTTTTGGTTCCTTATGATTACACACATACACCTCATACATCCAACACCTCTCACCTCACCACTGATTACTGATCTGCACTTAAATCTTATTCTTTAAATAAATTTTTGGTTAATCTAACTGGTTGCTGTGTGGTTCTCCCTCTTTTGTTGTGCTCTTAAACGAGCTGGGCGTAACAAGTGGGGGCTCGTCCAATTTTGAACTTGGGAGTGTCAATGTTTGGCTCTTGTGTGGCATTAAAACTGGGAGGCTCACAGTGGCTTGTTTGAGTGTTGTGTTAACCAGGGGGTAAATGGTGCAGTGCTCTCTTTGTTGACCTGCGTTCAGAGAATGGTGGCTTTAGGTTGCGCTGTGTGTGGCTGTGGGGAGGTTATGGCTGGAGCAGTTGTGTCCCTCATGTAGGCTGAAGTGGCGGTTCTCTCACAAGGAGGGGTTGCTCTGTTTTTTTTGTTTTGCAGGGCTGTTTGTTGTTTTTGTGTGTTGTCCGTGCAGTTAGTAGCAGTTGTCTCGGGAGCACCCTGGAGTATTGGCTGGGACAAGGTGTCTTCCCCAATACAGATGGTTTACAGGTGCATAAATACCCGCCGCCAGTACGCACATGAAGACTAGGGTGCAGTTAGCTAGTTTGACTTAGGTAGCTAGGAGGGGTGCTCCTTTGTCACTCAATCTCTCTGTGGCTATGTACTGTGTGACTTGTTGCTTTCTCTGTGAATGAGGTCTGATGTTTGCATTGGTTGTGATTTAGATTGACAGTTAACATGGATAGTGAGCACAGTAATACACTAGTTTCTGAGTTCCTCCAGCGACCATCTCGTAGCACTTTAGCTCAGCTTGCCAAATCAGATCTGGTGGACTTGGCAGTACATTTGGGTTGGTCTAAGGCCAAGGAGGTGCCAAAAAAGGCTGAGCTACGAGACATTGTTGAGGGGCTGGCTGTGTCTGCCAGTGTCTGCCAATCTTTTGGAGGTGGCTCAGGCTCCAGCAGCTCTGGTGGGTCCATGTGTTGGGGATGGGGCTTGGTCATTTGAGCAGTGTCTGCAGCTGGAGAGAGAAAAGGCGAAGCTGGAGAGGGAGAGATTTCAATTTGAGTTGGAGCAGGAGAAGCTGAGGGCTGCTACAGCATTAGAGAAGGAAAGGGTTAAAGTAGAGCGGCTGAGGTTGAAGCTAATGAATGAGAGTGGAGCTACAGGGCTGCATCGTGGCTTCGATGTTGCTGAAGGGTTGCGTTTGTTGCCAAAATTTGACGAAAAAGACCCTGACACATTTTTTGCTTTGTTTGAACGGGTAGCAGGCATTAGGGGCTGGTCAGATGCCCACCAGACTTTAATGCTACAGTGTATTTTCACAGGCAAGGCCCAGAGAGCTTTCTCTGCCCTCAGTTCTGTTGATAGTGCTAGTTATGGCAAAGTCAAAGCTGCAGTCCTTAAAGCATATGAACTGGTGCCAGAAGCTTATAGGCAGAAGTTTAGGAATTGGAAGAGAAGAGACCAGCAAATCCATGTTGAGTTTGTTCAAGACATTTTAACTCATTTCGGTGGTGTTCGGCATCCAGTGTGGAGTCATATGATGATTTGTGTGACTTGATTGTGTTAGAACAGTTTAAAAGTTCATTGCCTGCCCAGTTGGCCACCTATATTACTGAAAAGAAGGTGAAAACAGCAGCTGCAGCAGCAGTATTGGCAGATGAATATGTTTTAACGCATGGCAGGGGCTCACCTGGTGGTCATGGCCAGAGAGAAGGGCAACGGAGGGAGAATTTTAGGCTTGGGCCTAATAGGCCTCCAGTAGCTCATGAAGTTTCTCATGCTGGCAGACATGTCCCAGGGACAGATGGGAAATTTGATCCAGGCAGGATTTGTCATGCCTGTAGGAACAAGGGACACTGGAAAGGGGAATGTCCACCTAGTAAAACTGGTCAAAAATCAGCAGATGCCAGTGTGTATGTGAAGCCAGCTGGCCTGGTGACCTCTGCGCTTCACGCTAACATATCTGAATCTGTTCATCCACCAGGGACTGTGCCACCTAAGCATGTGGATGAGTTGTATAAACCTTTTGTATCAGATGGTTTTGTGTCTTTAGATGGACAGCGGAAGGTACCGGTTAAGGTTCTGAGGGACTCAGGAGCTAATCAGAGTCTTATTTTGGGAAGTGTGTTGCCTTTTTCAGCCCATACAGCTACTAGTGGGAAAGCTCCTGTACTGGGTGTTGGGATGGTTATGCTCTGGGTTCCTGTTCATCGTTTCCATTTTGATTCTGATTTGGTGTGTGGTGAAGTTGATATGGCCATCCGTCCTCAGTTGCCGGTACAAGGGGTTGATGTCATCCTGGGAAATGATTTGGCAGGGTCAAAGATTTGGAAAGAGGGTCCACCACTTGTGTATGTGGGTTCAGTTTTGCAGGTACCTGAAGAGCCTGAAGGGTGTGCTAAAGAGAGCCCTACAGTGTTTCCCTCCTGTGCTGTGACCCGGGCTAGGACTAAAGCTCTATCAGAACAGTCTGAGCTCTCTGGACAGGGTCAGTCTTCTCAGGCAGGTCTCTCTGAGGGACAGGAATCATGTAAGTTTTTTTCCATTCCTTTGTCTGCATTTTCTAGGGAGGAGTGGATTAAGGAGCAGGCTGTGGATCCTACACTGGGGCCTTTATTTGAGATGGTTGGTTCGGAGGGTGATCTCAAGAGTGTCTCTAGTGGTTATTTTCTCAGTGATGGGTTACTGTTGAGGAAGTGGGTTCGTGTGGTGAGTGGGGTACAGGTTGACAGTGTGATACAGGTCGTGGTTCCTTCCAGGTTCAGAGACGTGGTGTTAAGCACTTCACATGATGGGGTGGCAGGCCATCTTGGCGTAAAGAAAACATATGATAAGGTGCTTCACCATTTTTTCTGGCCTCGATTGAAAAAGGATATTGCTAACTATTGTAAAACCTGCAAAACATGTCAGCTAACAGGAAAGCCCAACCAGAAGCTGAAGC